CACTATTTGCCTTCACTTTGGCACTATAGTTAAATACTATTCTAAGAGGTGTAGTAGCCGAATCTTTCAAGATGGCGTGATGAGGCAAATAATGCCCTTGTTTTGTATTATCATGTTCAACAACTTCAATAAATTTGTTTACAAGTTGTTGTTGTATCAAATCGTGATACATTTGCAGTTTATCCGGTTGTTTAGTTAACCTAGCTACCTGTGATTTCAATTGATTTAAAGCCATGAAGTGATTTACTGGCAGTTGTGGGTGATTTAGCTTCCATGGCAATTTAACCCAATATTTGTTATTTTGATAAATGACTGAGCTAAGATATTGTTGATAAGTCCAAGTATCATCTGGGTTTGGTTGTTCAGGGGACAATGTCTAAAGTATCTAAATCCCATAATTTATATACAAGGGGATCAGAAGTATTCTCAGCTATGTCTCTGATTTGAAGTGGTGATTGTTCCAAGCCTAGTCACGCTACCATTATTGAATTGTTTTGTTGATCAATTATGGGTGTAGATTTTTTTGTTGGGTAGCACTAGTCCCGTAAGCAATTTGCCTTCAGCTGACAGCAACAATTTCATTCCTCGTTGCCTGGTGCATCCAGTAATATATCGATAATAATAATCTGTCCCTATAAGTATACCTACATCGGTGTGGCGGTCAGAACTTATTTTATAATCAACCAACGTCATGTCACTACGTTTAGGAAGCTTGGCTGTATTCCCTATATGTATAACCTGATACATATAGGTCAGATGGAATTTTGTCAACAACTATAGCCTGTACTGGGCTAGCATAGCCTCCTAGGCGAACCAAAACTCTCACAACCTTGTAGTCACGAGGTCCGGTGTGAGTCAAAAATCCTGAAATATTTCATTTCACTTAACACAAGGTTTACAATTTCAACTGATCTGCCAGTTGTTGTGTAATAAAGTTTTTTTGAGAACTTTGCTCGAAAAGACCACGGGTGATGATCCTGGACTTCTTACTAGTTAACCTTAGGTAGGTAATATACTAGCTGTAGGTAATATAGTAATATTGTCGGATTTGGTAGCAAGTACATTCACTTCTTGATGTACTTTGCAATGTTGCACAGTGATGGAGTTACTCGTATCCACATGAGGATTTGTGTGTGTGTTGTGACCACGGAGGTCACAACTCACCATGGAGGTCACAACACACTCACCATGGAGGTCACAACACACTTACCATGGAGGTCACAACACACTTACCATGGAGGTCACAACACACTCACCACGGAGGTCACAACACACTTACCATGGAGGTCACAACACACTTACCATGGAGGTCACAACACACTCACCACGGAGGTCACAACACTCACCATGGAGGTCACAACACACTCACCACGGAGGTCACAACACACTCACCATGGAGGTCACAACACACACATACACCCAAATAGTACACATGTACGTACACACATCACTGTATAACCTTACCAGTTTCAGAACTCAGGGGTAAGATTCACGAAGCACTTACGCAAGTACTTACGAACGTGTGCATCTTTCCTCAAACTTTGACGGCTTTGATTACATTTATTAAACAGTTTACGAGCTTTAGAACTTCCCAATCAACTGTTGTTATTGTTATAAACAGCCTCCTGGTGCTTCGAAGCTTATTAACTGTTTAATTATTGCAAAACATCGCCGCCAAAATTTGAGAAAAGATGTACAGGTTCGTAAGTACTTGCGTAACTGCTTCGTGAATCTTACCCCTGGCCTCTGGTCTAAATCCGAATATAATATATTTATACTGGAACACATAGTGCAGGAAGGAAGACGGGAAATGAAATAGCTTGAAATATGCAAGTTATTGGGGAAAGACAAGAGATAAACAGAGATGAAAATAGCCTACTTAAATGTTGATTTAAAAGAAAAAAGTACTCCACAGACGGGTGTGGAGTACTTGAGTCTTTGTAGTACCAAAGATTCAAGCTCAATTGTTTAGCAGTATACATTGTATAGTAATCCATTCCACAAGATAACTGTGTATCATATAATAAATATAAATCAAATAATAAAATTGTTAAATAAGGAAAGACACAGTAACTGTTAGACGAAGCTAAAGTATAAGTATTACAAAACCATACTGGAGACCATAATAAATATTGCAAAACTATACTGGAGACCATAATAAATATTGCAAAACCATAAATATGATGATCTATTTCTTCAAAGCATTCTTGGAAATCGCCGAGATGTGAGTTTTTTCTCAACAGGTCAAAAATGCCCGAAACGCTGTGCGTATTAGTGGCTTTAGGTATTGTATGTAATAGCTCTATCTATAAATCCAACAGTATGTTTGTAACTCTTCATCAATGTATGTGCTTTTACCTGAAGAAAAAATTGAATTTGAATTTGAATTTGAAAATGTCTGTGATGCCAAGGATGATGATGAATTAGGATCGATGTAAGAGCTTTCAACATAATAGGCCAGAGTTTGTTTTAATGTAATTGGTATAGACTGTTTTTATTTATTTCGAAATGAAATATATTCAGAAGCTCCAACAGGAGGAGGAGTTAATATCAAGTACAGAACTATACTGCCAATAGTGAGCTTCAGGGAAGGTTGCAATTGAAGGGCAAAATCTGAAATTTGAGAAAGCGAAATTTTCGGAAAAAGAATGGATAACATTATATGTATAATGTAGACTGCCAAACTTAATGGAGAAAGAGGCAGGAGATGTACCATGTACAACAATACTCATATATCTATCATACACCGGAAACTAGACATACATGCACAGAAAGAGAAACAGAAAACCAAAATGTGGCAGGTGGGAGAGTGAAGGGAGAGTCATACTCAGGATAAATCTAACACCATGGCAGAAGATTCATCGTTAATGTACATCACGAAACCTTGTGTGAGTGAGACTTAATATCTACAGTAGAAGCTGCCTTAGAGAAACCTGACTGGTAATCATAGAACAGTTTGAATGCTCAATGTCCATCGAGGCAGATTAAACTTAAGCATGTTCTCAAGTGCAAGACTGGACGAAGACAGGTAAGCAAGCACCCGCTCATGCACAGACGCATGATGTTTAAGGTTTTGAAAAGCATCTTAGATGAGGAAACGAGTGAGGCTGAGCTCATCTAAAGTAGAGTTAGAAGAAAAAAGATGATAATAATGTTAACTTTGTCAGAGAGAGAAAAAAGAGAGAGATGTTTAATATATCAGAGAGGGAATTCGTAATACAAATATGATAATTCACCCGCACTTGTTTTTTAAGGAAATTGTATTTAGCCACTATCGCAGGTGCAGTGTTCATCACTGGAAACCCTCGGGATGCCAGTCTGCTAGACAACATCCAGTGTATGTTCAGTGTTTAATAAGAGGAATAGATATGAAGTTCTACACTGCAGACGAGCATCTCCGATATGCATATCTGTGCTGGAAAAGACACTAATATAAAGGATAGTCAACTGAGCAATGTATGCATAATGGATCAACAGAGAAGGAAGATTATGCCTCACTAACTAAATAGTTATGTGATAGACGGGAAAGGAAGAATGAGTGAACTGCGCATTCATTGGATATCAGAAGGCCTTGGACATCGCGCTTCACTGGTAAGAATTTTACAGTAAGGAAAACAAGGCTTTGATTCAGTGACGTGTCTGAAGTGATCAGTGTTTGAAGAGATCAGTGCTGTAGGAAACAGTGTAGCACCGGAGAGCACACCGACGTGAGATCTGGGCCAGAACAGCCTAATTCATGGCGCGAGCCCTAAGCTTAGCAGCAGCCTCTTGATACGCTTACCGCTAAGTCTGAGACTGGAACAAAGATGCAATAGAAATTTAGGTAGAAAATTTCTCTCTAACAGTAGACATAATTGCCCCGTGCACCAGTCTACCAACCCCAATACTAAATCACTTTAACTAAATTGAACAGAATCGATGACAACACAGTACTTCAACTCCATTGTTTAAATTGCTGCGGAAGATAATATGCTGTTACATAATTAATCCTTCACTTTCCTGTCCTCCGCCTCCACCCCCTCATCTTCTGGTCTGACATTTATGAGTGGTTGGCCATAATAATTGTCAGATTTGTTAAAGACCGTCTTGCAAAATGTTACCTGTAATGAAATCTACTGTCAATTTGGTCTTTTTTAACATTTGTAAAGAATATGGATGGATAAATTTGAAAATTAATTATTTTCAACGTATTAGAAAGAAAGTAAAAGGCTTTAAAACAAAATGTATTTGGGAAGAAGAAGAAACACCGTTGGAGCTGCTGAATGATGTAAGTTTATAGGTTTGCTGTGTGACTAAACTGGAAGAAAAGATAAACATGTAATAACAACGTATATTTTGAGAACAAAAATATAATCAAACAAGCATGGAGCGTTTTTTAAAACAAAACCAAAACATAGAAGAGTGAAGTTTTAAAATGAATGACAACAAAATGCATAAAATGAGTCGACAGAATAACACAGTACATTAACTAGGTGTTGATACTTGAAATTAAGTAATTCATTGCCGTGGTGAAGAAAAGTTAATTTGTAAACAGGTATGTGTTTTAAAGTGAAATTATATGTCAATGTGTCATGTTATTCAACCCGTTCTCGCAAATTCGTAAAGTCAATATTGACTTATTAACTATGTGCATAGGTGATATACTAAACATAATAGATACCCTTAAAAAGATTCATAGAAAACACCGACCTTACCTAACCTTGTTAGTATCTTAAGATAAGCATCTTATTGCTTCGTAATTACAATTATTACTTAACCTATACCTATTATAGGTTAGGTAATAATTATAATTACGAAGCAATAAGATGCTTATCTTAACATACTAAGTAGGTTAGGTAAGGTCGGTGTTTTCTATGAATCTTTTTAAGGGTATCTATTATGTTAAATATGTCACCTATGCACATATTTATTAAGTCAAAATTGACTTATTAAATTTGCGAGAACGGGTTGTGTTATTATAATTTTAGAGACCATATTTTTGTATTCATTTTCTTTGTTAGATAACAAACTTGGCCGTTGAAGATGTTACTGATGAAGACACTCAGTGGTTTAGGGAAGCTGTCGAGCAGTATGATCTTCACTTCAGGTGAGCATTATGATCTTCACTTCAGGTGAGCATTATGATCTTCACTTCAGGTGAGCATTATAACCATCACTTCAGGTGAGCATTATGACCTTCACTTCAGGTGAGCATTATGATCTTCACTTCAGGTGAGCATTATGATCTTCACTTCAGGTGAGCATTATGATCTTCACTTCAGGTGAGCATTATGACTTCACTAACATTCATTAACAAATAAAGGGATTGACTAAATGTAATATATATAGCTGTATTATATCTATATAACTATATATAGATATATAGTTATATCAGAGATATAACAAATATCTCTGATGTTAGAGATATAATGAACTAGAGCATAGTTTAGGTCCCTGTTACACTAATAATTAAGAACACAGCTGCAATACATGTTTCATTTGCATTCTAGTCTTTCTGTTCATTTCGTAAATTACATATCATTTTAATCTTTAACATTTATGGTATATATTTTTTTAGCTTATTGACAAATTATGAAAAATTCTTCAACACTTGTGAGGTTTATGTTACTTCTTTCTCGTCCCCAGCTACCAAGATGGAAGGGTAGCACATCTCTGCCCTCACCAGGATGAAGACGTTATTGCTCTAAATTTTAAGCGTGGAATTCTCTCTGCTCTTCAAGTGACAATAACTAATGTTGCAGACAAGGAAGAGGTTGTTGTTGATGAGGTAAGAGTATAGTTGTACATCATGTAAGGTTCATGAGAGACTCGAAGCATACGTACTCTATTTTCATAAATGTAGATACTGAATAATGTATTTTCAGCTGTACTCTATGAGGTATTTTCTGTAGGGTGATGTGTCTGGGACATGCAAGACTCTGTATTCTGTGAGCAACCAGAATGATCTGATTGTTACCAAAATCAAAGAAAATTGTCGTTCAAATGGCTTCCTTCCCTACGTCCCCCACTCTCACTATACTACAGGTGACTCAAGTATACAACTGCCTTTCTTCAGGTGAGTCCAATGACTGTATTAAGATAGGTACAGAAACAAACTATTCAGAGAAGATTTACAGTAACTGAAGAAATTTTGCTTGTATAGGCTTAATAAAGTTAGCTGAAAATAGTGTACAAGTTTAGACTAGAGATGGTGGGTAGTTTACATTGACATTTGGATCATTTTACCAATTTGTGTTTATTTTTTCCGGCTGACGTCACTCTGCACCATCGTTTGGTTGCTCGCTATGTTTGTGCTCTGTTTTATCGACATCTTATTTTGCCTTTCAGGAAAATATTATTGCTAAATTGTTATTTTATTGTTCCTACCAATCTCACTAAAATATTTTCCCATTATTACTTTGACATTCAATGCAATTAATGAAGTTAGATTGATTCATTAGTGTAAATCTGTATTTTTACGTATAGCTTTGACCTGAAGTAACAGTTTAATATGTGGGTTCATCAATACCTAGACGCAACCAGACATGCCAGATGCATCAGCGTGCGGGCGTGTGGGAGCAAGTTACCTGTCTAGAGGAGATCAGAGTGGACGGCGCCACCACCGCCGCCCACCGTAGCCACCTCGCGCTCGCCAATGTCTACGTCAAATCTAGTCTCAGTCTGCAAGCTGGACCAGTGCCATCACAAGGAAACTTTTCACAGTGTAAGTATACAATTATTATTATTATTATTATTATGGAGTAATGGAGAGGGGCAGGAAAATTAATGGGAGAGGGACGGGAGAAGTGAGTGGGAGAGGCCGAGGGGAGTGAGGAAGACATAGATAGATGAATTAATTCAATAGAATGGATAGTGGATAGATGGATGGATGGATAGATGGAAGGATAGAAGGACTGATAGATGGGTGGATATATTGGATAGAAACATAAATGGATGGTTGGATAAATAGATGAATGGATAGACGGATAGATGTATATATGGATGGAAACCTGAGCAGATGAATTTAATTATTGAATAGACAATAAATAGATGAATATTTGGATGGTTGATAGATGGATAGGCATGATAAATGGATGGATGGATAGATAGAGTGATGGATAAATGATAGATAAACATATAGATAGATGGACAGATGGGACACACACAAACCAATGAAAATCATTTTGCCGTCATTGTGATTTCCTTGTGATTTGAGTGAGCTTAAGAATGTGAATACCTTTACCCTGGGCCAGAGTGTGGTCGGGTTGACAGTAAAAACCACTGTTGGGCTCCGACTTGAGGCCTCTAGAACCTCCCAGTGAATTCAACAGAGTTACGGGTTGGTTGGCTTTTGTACCATCATGGCTGAGTAGGTTAGGGCAGGTGTAGGTTTTCAACTCACATACATCCTTCTTGCTTATTTATCTCCCCTTCACTGAATTGTAATATTCGTCATTCTGATATTGTATTCATTAACACGAAAGTACTTAAGAAATTTCTTGTATAATTTTCTATCAGGATTGAACATTGTCATATATATATATATATATATATATATATATATATATATATATATATATATATATATATATATATATATATATGTCGTACCTAGTAGCCAGAACGCACTTCTCAGCCTACTATGCAAGGCCCGATTTGCCTAATAAGCCAAGTTTTCATGAATTAATTGTTTTTCGACTACCTAACCTACCTAACCTAACCTAACCTATCTTTTTCGGCTACCTAACCTAACCTAACCTATAGAGATAGGTTAGGTTAGGTTAGGTAGGGTTGGTTGGGTTCGGTTATATATCTACGTTAATTTTAACTCCAATAAAAAAAATTGACCTCATACATAATGAAATGGGTAGCTTTATCATTTCATAAGAAAAAAATTAGAGAAAATATATTAATTCAAGAAAACTTGGCTTATTAGGCAAATCGGGCCTTGCGTAGTAGGCTGAGAAGTGCGTTCTGGCTACTAGGTACGACATATATATATATATATATATATATATATATATATATATATATATATATATATATATATATATATATATATATATATATATATATATATATATATATATATATATATATCCAGTTTTGCTTTAATGTCAAGTAATACATTATGGTAGTAATAGTAATGGAGGTGATATTAAAATTCTTTGAAACAAAGCAAAACAATTTTCACCGTTGGGGATATTTTCAGATGGTTATCTACAGACAAGAGAACCACTCCTCATGGATCTTAAGGGAGCTTTCCACTCTGACAGGTCTAGGAAATTCCCGGAGGCTGATCTTAGAGAACAGGTAAGCTCTCAGGCAAATCTAATTATATGCAGATTAAGGTAATTAACTTGATTGTTTCCAGGCATTTTTGTCAACTAGAACAAGTAGATAGAGTGAAGTCTCACTCGAATGGAGCGATTCATTACAGATTCTGCACTGTTAAAGAATATCCATTGGATACTACTCCACTCTTTCTTCACTTTTTTTTGGTCACAGTTATATAAATTATTTATTTGGGAGCACATAAGAAGTCGTTTTCAGAATATTTTGAGTCGGAAATAAACACAATCAGGATTTTAGTCAATAAGAAGAGCTATATATTGTGTGAGCAAGATATTCAGATGCGCTTGAAAGGTTATCTTGAGATAATTTCGGGGCTTAGGGTCACCGCGGCCCGGTCCTTCTTTTTATTACACACCCCCAGGAAGCAGCCCGTAGCAGCTGTCTAACTCCCAGTTACCTATTTACTGCTAGGCGAACAGATGCATCAGGGTGAAAGAAACTCTGCCCAATTGTTTCCTCCTTCACCAGGGATCGAACCCGGAACCTTAGGACTACGAATCCCGAGCACTATCCACTCAGCTGTCAGGCTCCCCAAAGGTAGTCGACTAGATCATGGCAGGATACTGCCCAGGGTCTGATTTAGACGTGGTGAGGCTCTTGTGCTACATGGATATATGTAGATAAATGTTAATGAAGAATAAAACCGTTTAACACCTGAACTTGGCAAGAGTGTCGTCGAGATGGTAAACAAGTCTGTACTGGGGAGGGCAGAGGTGTCTCATTTAGAACTTAACCATATGCTTTTAATGATTGTTTCAATACACGTTTTAATAGAAAAATAATAATGGAAATTCTTTCCCATAAATAACAATCTTTTATATTAATTGTGCCTAATTGGTTAATTATCTAAGGTGTAGCTTGTTTAGCTTATGCCTAAGGTGACATTTTTTCACTAGTGCAGCAAAGGTCATTTCATATCCATCTATCAAGTATTACTAGTAATAATAATTCAATGCAGCTTAGAGTGACTATTGAAAATTCACTGAGAGCCTTTCCCATTTATATTTGGCATCACAACGACCCCCGACCACAGCTCTAACAAAATGGAAGTCTATCTAAGAAGGCTGCAACCATCTGGTACCTACCAGATGGTAGAATCCAACACCAGGTTCACTGCCTGTAACACCAGCATATTCAGATATGCGTAAAGTAAAATCTTGTACTATTTTACTAATATACTTACTCAAAGGGTTCCTACGGCAAGCTTGAGGAAGAAATGACAAACTGTACCAAACAACACAAGTAATGACAGGGAAGAATATTTATTAATCGTTTCCTCAGATGTGTGGGGGTTAAAAAATATAAGTAGATGGAGAAAGTGAATGGAGAAGCTAAAAAATAGCTTTCAGGCCTCAAGATATATGTTCGTTTACGTGATAAGAACACGTGATAACGGACGAATCATTGAGCGACTCGCTGACGGAGCAAAAGGGAAACCTGATGGAAGTAGCAGGCGACGGATGATCAAGTGAATGACCAGAACAGGATATCCTTGACGACACAATGAAAGTAGCGAGTTTCTCAAGGCCATGCACCCGAGGACACACCTGTAGTTAATTCAACTTGAGCAGTAAGGTCTTGAGAGTAAGGTCTTCAAACGATGGGTTCAGCCTCTGAAAATCCAGCAATTTATCGACAAGCGAGCATTATTGGTGAATGTGTAGGGTGGGTGGGGAAGTGGCCCTTGACAACCCTCAGAGAGTGAGGCAGAAGCCCACGTGAAAATGACTGATCAGAACACCGACATTAAAACCCTAGATAGAAGTGCATGCTCCAAAAAAGAGCGAAGTGAGGACACAGAAGGCTAATGAAAAACAATATATTTTTGAGGGGCTGTCAGGACACCAGACAGTTACGAGAGAAGGCCCGAGGACACTGAATGAGGAACATCACCACCAGTGACAGAGACATAGACAGCATGGATGTATATATGTAAATATGTATATATGTATGTATGTATATTGTATGTATATATATATATATATATATATATATATATATATATATATATATATATATATATATATATATATATATATATATATATATATATATATATATATAAACATCGTAAACTGCTCCATGAAAATTCACAAAACAGAATCTGAGGGCAGGATCCAAGTCTACAATGCCCGGGAGAGCGAACTTGACCAGAGCTCTATGGGGTTCCAGGATGATCTCTCTCAAAGCAAATCTGAAATGGGCATCCAGCCGCAAGATTCGTGATCTCACGGATTACTGTCGCCTACATAACATGAGAGGTTAGAAAAAAGAACAAAACAAAGTCGTCACAAAGCACCAAGAAGAGAGAACCAAGTGGCCAGATCCCTGGATACTTGCAAGGAAAATTCTCTGGTTAACCCACAATGGGCCGACAGATAAAAGGAAACTTTACTCAGGTTTGGTCGATAAAACTCGATAGACATGCAAAGACAGTGAATATACACACACACAGAATAACATGTTCAATAATGCATGGGGCCCATTGCACAAGACACAAAACCAGTCTCAAGAGGAGTAAACTATTACATATTTGAGAAAAGAGGTCCCCTGCCGAGCGGTTAGTGTTCTCAAGGTAAAAAAGTATTTGAGCAGTATTTGGCAGTATCTTTGATTTCAAGTACTTTTTTGCCGCCTGTTTGCGTTTAAAACAAAATTCCCCGCTGTATCGGAGATGAAAAGTCACACAGAGAGCTCTCCGAGCTAAGAACTTCCCAGCCATGTATTGAGGAGATGCACCAGATCTGATACCCACTGTTGCATGTCGTGAGCTGCAACCATAATGTGGCGCTGAATTTGAGGCGAGGCAAAATAGGTGATCAGAGATTAATCTAAACAAAAACACAAAATAATATAAGCGCAACAAACAACTGATTGTATTCATAGTTGCTTTTGACCCTTTTCCGGGTTTAGATCGTGACCCAAAGGTGCGTATCTATGTATCGGTTTGTGGCCGGAATTTTCCTGAGTAGGTACACATTGTCACACCTCCTGGGTTTGGCTCGACGGAACTTGCTTTATTACCTGCCACAGAGCGGAATCGTTCACTTGAACTGAACCCTAACTTTTTTTGTTTTTTGTTTCATTTACATATACAAGAGTTCTTACATTCTTGTACATCCACTAGCACGCATAGCGTTTCGGGCAAGTCCTTAATCCAAATGTTTGACGGAATACGACCCGCCAAATCGTTAACAGCCAGGATTCCAGTTTACTGTTGCGTAAACATAGGCTACAGTTAAGGCATGACGCCTAGTAAATCTTCCCCAGCCAGGATACGAACCCAAGTCTTGTTACGGCCCTAATGGGACGCAACCGGGTTCTTTTCTGATGGTATTAGTTTTGGGTATCCGGCCCCAAGTTAGTAGAGGCTTTCAAGGGGTGAGCTCCGTAATGCAAGTAAAATAAACAGGGGAGGTACATTAAATACACAAGTATACCTCTTTCTATATGTATATATATATTCTTTTCCCACCACCATATATAAATTAAAAGTCACAAACGGGAACTATTACTACACAATATATATCTTCATCTCCCTCTGAAGACGCTGAACACTTGGCGACACTCACTCTGTGTAGTCTTGCCTGGCACAACCCTCTGCAGGCACCAGGAAACGACGATGAATCTACCCTGGCCACAGGCCAGCCAAATCACAATTCCACTGGGAGCCTTGTCGTGATGGCCCACAACCACAGCCCAGCCTGTAGCTGGCAGGTACCAATCAGCCTCGCTGTTAGGCCACTCCACGATGAATACTAGGGTTGCGAGCCCTAGGCAGGAGCCTCGTGTAACTCGCTGGTCACTCTCCTCGGTCGGCACCGCAGTGGGTTGTCTCTTCCACCAGCCAGCCCCGGGTATGGCAAATCCCGTCACTGCCACTCCTCAGGCAGACAATTGAACACTCAGCAGTGCTCGTCCGATGGCGGATCACTGCTTCTGCAAAGCAGACTGGTGAAGAGACCTTGGCTGCCTTGGGTAAACTGATTCAACATACATCACAGCCGTCCTAGTGTAACACGGGTTTGGGTTTCTCTCTCTACTTCACTTCCTTCTTTGCCCTCTACCCGTATTCTTACTTTTTATTCTCTACCAAGGGACTCCAAAACTTTTACCAAAGCCAACTCCACGCCACGTGGTCCTAAGACGATTGACCGAGGATTCTACACCCAGTATGACGTGACCTAGGCTCTGAGCAAAACCCTAGAGTCGCCTCTACGCTGCCACCACCAGACCAGTAACACAGAGCAATGATCGAGGTCTGGATCGATCACGCTAATTAATCAACCTTGGGGCTTGATCCCCACTAGTAGTTTATAATCTCGGAAACTTGAGTGTGGAATAAATTACACGGGAATGATTCGATGTTAGAATCGGCGCCCAATCCAACTCTGCCTCGTGTGGACCACGTGACCAGGACAAGTATACACATAACCAAATGGAAACAATAAAAATGCAATTTACTAACAAATTTAATTTATTAAAAGAAAACTAAAACAAAATCTAAATATGTTCACTCCCTATCACTTTAACACTCCCTACTTGACCTGAATGGCAAATGAGAAGACTATCCCTATAATTAACAATAGCAACTATACCTTGGGCGACCACAGCTCTAGATGTTGGGCTGGTCTTGGGGAGAGGTAAGATGGTTGGCCTCTTATCCCAGCTGCTCCCGTTTCCACACTGATCTCTCCCTTGTCTGGTCTACCCCAGACAGAACATTGTATCCTTCCGCCTAGTCAAAGTTTTACCAAGTTACTAGCCAGGTTTAAGTTATAACAATTAACCTCTGTTGTACTTAATTGATCCAGACTGGTTGAGTTATTTTACTGAAATTAAATTACACAAACATCTACGGCAGAGCTGTTCCTGATCACAAAAATGGTTATTAAAACTTTGAGAAATCGTAGACCTGTCAACCCTGATGACCTATGACCGCCGGTCACTCCGCCTTA